ACTATTGGGACGGTGCTCTCTTATATGCACATATATGCATTGTTTTATTTTTTTTTCTTGCAAGTGACGTTACATTCACAAAAAAAAACAAAAAAAAATGAAACTCACTCACACACGGAATTCTATCTTTATCTGATGTAGTTACATCTGTCTTCTTTCTTTCTTCTTTCTTTGTTTGTTTTTCCTTTATCTGTCTCTTTTACAAAGATGGTATATTGAGCGATATAGTGCAATCATTGACTGTGATTTTGTTCAGTATATTACTCTTTTCCTTCTTTGAAATAAATAAAAAGTTTATACTAACTACATCATCCGATGAAGCAAAAGTATACGCAAAACAGTTTAACGTTTGCCAATATCGTCGATCAGATTTAAAAAATTATACAAACTATTCGTTCAAATGCAGTGAGTATAGGAAGTATCCGTTTTGTTCTTTTGAAATTCAGATAATGGTGCCAAATAGTAATCCGCAATCAGTGATGATCATATGCAGAAATGAACATGAACACGAACAAGAAGAACGGAATCGTACAGCATGTTTACCATCACCCATTCGGAAATCAATGCCAAAATATGCTAAATGTGGGTTGTCACAAATGCAAATTAAGTCATCATTAGTTCAAGATAATTCAAATGCTCCAATAATGGAAACAAAGTTAATCAATTTAGTATCGTACTAACGTCGAAAGGATAGATCAGAGATAATTATAATATATTTAACTTGAGAAGCGAACAAAACTTTTTCAATGACATATATGCAATGACTGCATGCATATGTATGGGAGTATCGAAAGTAGGTAATGACAGGAAAGAAAAAGAACTGAGATACAGGCCCATTGTAACTCCTTTATCTCAATTAACGTAAATGTGACCTTAACGATTTTTACTCAGCAACGTAACTTACATTCAGGTCTGTCGATCTAAGTAAAAATTTAAAAAACTTTTATTTAAGCCTGAAAAGTCACTGAGGGCAGCACGAAATAAGAGACCTGGAAAAGTTACTGTCGAAATTAGGACATGTGACTCTACGTTTAAAAATGTACCTTGTGTTTTGGTCCAAATTGTTCGTTCTTCAAAATTTCTTCCAACTTCCAATTACGAGTTGTCGAACAGTTGAGAGCAATCGCTAAAAGTGCAGCTGAAGGATGTGTTCAACGTGCATGTAAGAATGCAGCATCTTTAGCCTTATCGCGGGCGAACAAAAAACCGAAACATCTTACAGTTTATATTGTAGATAAGAACTTGAAAAATTTGGATGTGTGTGTGTGTCGTTGCCTCCCAGTGAAGCATCCTTGCATGAATATGGATGGACTGAGAAGGAGGATATTGGGTCACCAGTGAGGGATGACAGTTCGTTTTTTAATCACAATATCGGATCTTCAGCAAGTGCTTCTGATCAAGCAATTATTTCCCCAAGTAGTGCTCAGTGTAATGATTTCGACAAAGCAAATATTTCGTTCAGCTTCTCGGATTCTCTGCTAGTCGTTGAAGCAAATTTTGAATATTTCGCACCGTTTTTTAAACAAATGACACTTAATAGTAGTAAACCGCTCGATGTTAAACGAATTTTTGAGGATGTGTGCAGATACGTTTTTTTGGAACTGAACTATTGTGTGGATTGTGAAGAGTTAAAAAGATAAATTCATATGCGTTTGTTCGGCATACTTAGATCAGTGAAAAGAAGAAGCAGATATACCGCAGTGGTATTAAGTCTGCTTCAGAAACAGAGAATTTTTACATTTAGTTTAAAATGCATTCATCAGCTTGATGAGGTTCAACAATCAAGAAACAACGAAATGTTTTGTACCACGTTCGGTAATCGTAATAAAACTCTACGTGACTTCCAGGTTTTTTTGGATTCAGATGGAAAGAAACGGTTGCTTATGCGTTGCGATGATTTTCGAAAAGATTACGACATTGTATATTTTCAACAGAAAACGTCTCGAACCTCAATAGAAAAAATTAATATGGTTTTGACTGTAACTGTTTCGCTTTTGTCAAGAGCACTTGAAACGTTTTGCAATTATGAGGAAACTACGCGTGGTCATCTAGACACAGATGAACTATGTGCAATAATAGAGAAATATCTGAGAGAAAATAAGATAAAGTATGATATTGCGTTAATTCGAGAGTTCATAAAAGGAGATATTCTCGAAAAATTTTCAGTTGTGCAAAAACAGTTTTCAGTGTTGGAAGTTGCAAAATTTTATACCTTCCTGTTGCCAGTTGATGATACTATCAATCGGAGAACGGTTAATGTGAATGTTGTTTCTGATGAACGATTGTTTGGAAATCCAACTAGAGAAGTGAAACGAGAATTTGACGCTTCTGTATTTTTCACTGACGAATCATCTGATACTCAAATGGATCGACGATGGTTTGAACAGCAAGAAGAAAAAAAATTGAGATTTATGCAGCTGAAGGATACATTCAATTTGACAGATGCTGCTGTAAGTGCGATAGGAAAATATTTGAAGGAGCCTAAAACGTTTTTTTCGTTACATAAAACTCGACAGGCAGAAAAATGAACAAGAAGTTCCCCATACATTTTACCGAGTCTGGCGATGGTGCATATGTTGATTTTTTGTACGCAATCAAACTATTTTAAGATGAAAATATGAGTTTAAATTGTTATTGGTGTTTGAAGTATTCAAGAAACGTAATTTATAATATCCTGAAGCATTCTAATTATTTCTTGCATCAGAGAAAAGGCTCTTAAATGCTTCTCCTTTTAAGTTCACTGATCTAAATTACTTCTGTTTTATTTATTTTTGGAAAATTTACTTTAGTCAATATTTCACTCAGCATTTAATAATTCTCTATCGATCTCGACTACTTTCGGCAAAATGTGTTTTTCTAAGTTTTCTCAAAGGCTAGTCTTCTAGAAAACCACTTTGGAAAATTCTGACTTTTCCGAAAGTGTTTTCTCAAGATTCAACACTCATCTTTACCGAGGAATTCATATTTTCAGCTGTGTATGCTGAAAAGTAACTGACTTATTTAGAAATCACTTGGCCGATTTGGCGCCCAAACTCACTAATTTTCAATGATTTGCAAATATCTTAGCAACAAAAAGGAATTTCAAAAAGCGAGCTATACTTTTTATCTTCGTTTTAAGGCGATTCTTTTGGCGCATAAGTGAGAGCGGTAGCGCTTTACACAAAAACGTGGATAGGTTTGCAAAGAGAGAGTCTCAGGTTTTTCTGAAACTGGACGATTTTTCGCTATTTTAGAACCCCTCAGTATTTTCAATTTTTCTCCGCAAAAACGCGCCCTAATTGAGCTGAAAAGGTGATATTCGAAATCAGCTTGATGAGATCTATCAGAATATGTGTGTTTAAGGCAAAAATAATACCTTACGGAAATTTTGAATTAGCGGAGCCTTAATTTCAGTCTAGAAGTTCATTATAGATTAATTTCACTTCGTTCGTTTTCAACCTTTGTGATATGTAAAAACACCCTTCACGAATATGTTTCGATAATTTTTCGTAAAATTTTATCGTACATAATAACAAATTGAATACAATGACGCCATAGGCAGAAGTTAAATTGAGGTTATACACTGTAAGGTTGGAAATTATTTATGGAAAATGCTTGGCGATTTTTAAAGAGTACATATGGGAATTCCGCGAGGATTTTCCAGTTTATAGGAAATCGAATTTCCAACAATCTAGAAAATCCTCTTTGATTTTCCAGTTTGTTAGAAAATCACCGTTGAATTTTCATAAATAAATTTCAAGAAAGTAGAAATTTCTTTTTGACTTGGCGGGTCTGCATAGAGTGGCGGCGCTACCAGATTATATGGGGGTTGATCCCACTCATGCTTTTGAAAAATTTCTGGTAAACGTCTCCGATTTTCGAACCTTCCTACCGAAACTTCTCGCCACCACTGTCTCTGCCTAAATCAAATTCTTGCTGGTAGAGCAGAATTATGATCTAAAGTAGAAACTATCAGAGTTGATTTAAGTGTAATATGCGTGTCTTTACGTGACGCTCTTATACCTACACTAATTATAAAACAAAAAGATGAATAAGTAGTTGGTCTAGAAATTCCTGGGCGAATTTCCACTTTCTAGAAAATCGCCGAGGACTTTCTAGTTTATAGAAAATCAAAATCGAATAAATTTAAATTATTTATAGAAAATCCGCAGTGATTCTCCACCTTTATAGAAAATCAAAGGTCGATTTTCTATAAACCAGAAAATCAACATTTCCTAGAAAGCTGGAAGTTCGTCAAGGAATTTCTATAAACTAGAAAATCCCCGGCAATTTTCTATAAGGTAGAAATGAATTCAAGATTATAGTGTGCGTCTCAAAAGAGATACTTTTTTTGCAAACTCACACTCAGTTTTGTAAGTCCCCCAATTAGCAGAAAGAATTCAAGAATTAGCATCGAGTGTTTTTCCAGTTTCTGAAATTTCAGAAATTCAGAATTAGCATCAAGTATTCAGAAATAAAAATCAAGCTTTTTCTCAATTCAAGAAATCACGAATAATCATCAAGGATTTTTCTTAATTCAAAAATACAGAAACTGACCAGACTTTTGAGTTTTTTCAATTGAAAGAATACATAAGTTTTAATTCAAAGAGTAACAATAAGAAGTCTCTGTGTAACCATAGTGAGTGTGTGTGGGGTGAAGTGGGACGATGAGAGTGAGCCGTTATCCAACATTGAGCCATGTGCTACAGTCCGCTCTGATCCGCGCAATTCACTGATTGGTGAGTATTCTGCATACATGAGTTCAAACCGATTCCATACAAATTCACAGAATGTTGACCTTTCGAATTCAAGAAATTCATAAAAGGTCACATTTTCCACTTTTCAATTGTTGTACTCTTTCAATTGAAAAAACTAAAAGGTGCCTGTCAATTCCTGAATTGTTGAATCGGAAAAAGATTCTCAAATTGGAAAAGTTGCTTTCAGTTTCCGAATTCTTGAATTAAGAAAAAGCTTAATTTATATTTCTGAATGCTTGATGCTAATTCTGAATTTCTGAAATTTCGGAAACTAAAAAATAACTCAATGCTAATTCTTGAATTATTTCTACTAATCTTGAAAATTTTATCAATATAGAGTTCTGTGAACTCCGCTGCCCCTTACTCCTAAGTATATAAAGGACGTTATGAATACCCCATGTATTTTTAATTAATTTTCAATTAATAATTGTTAGGGGTGGTAATTTAGTGTTACTTTGGAAAATAAATGTAAATGGTACATTTATACTTAAAAAATAAAGATAAATTCGTCATTTATATATAAAAAATAAATGGAAATAAATGAAAAAAAAATTTATCTTTATTTTATAAAAGTAAATGATCCATTTATCTTTATTTATTTATTTCTACCTTTATTTAAATGAATCATTTACTTTTATAAAATAAAGATAAATTTTTTTTTCATTTATTTCCATTTATTTTTTATATATAAATGACGAATTTATCTTTATTTTTTAAGTATAAATGATTCATTTACTTTTATCCATTATTATAAATGAACAATAAAACTAAATTAACACCCCTAATAATTGTAGCATAACTGTAAAACAATTCTTTCATAATGTCCATCATTATAATCTTATAATGATCGACACAGTGGCGTTCATCCCTCCGTCAAAGTTTGAGGCAATTAGCCACTTAACGTTTTGCAATCCTTGGTTTCATTAAAATCGCGCCCCACTTCT